GTACAGTATTCGTAACATGAAACAAATTTACATTTGGAACTGTTTTATTTAGCAAAAAAATCTCAAAACTGATAAAGATGCTTTGTATCAGTTGCAAGAATATGTTCCCAAACACAAAGAGCCCCAACTCCAAACTGTTCAGAAAAATCTCCCAAGCTCATACGTGTACATGTATACATGCACAGTGTACATGTATATGTACACTGTAAGATACTGTAGGGAAGGACTGAAAATTTGATTAAAAAGTCATACAAACAGAGAGACAGACACAAACAGAATGGCCTGAAAAGATTTGTAGCGTTTACTCTGAGGACAAATTCCAAGACATTTTATATTATATTATATATGACATGTAATTGAATTTCACCTGTACATACTGAATATCGGTACATGGCCGGAGCATGATATACATGTAAGATGCGTGGTACTGTTTATGGTGATGATTAAAAAAACGGTGCAGGTGCATGCCTGCGATGCTTTTCCATACATGTGAAAGTGCCTCACTTACACATGTACATGTACCACATCCCTTGAAACCGCACATGCAAGATTTATAATTGAATTTGCTGTTTGACAGATATTTAGTGGGTCCTGCCTATTCCCCTGTGCCTTGTGGCATGTGCAGCTTTCAGTGGCTGTCAGGGCTGGTACTTACCATTGAATTATTGCCTGACAGCTTCTGTGGAAGGGGCTGGCATAACTTCACAAGTCCTCTAGTCCCTGTAAGCTTTTATTCAAGTGGCTTTGAAAAACATTAATCCATGGACTTGTAAGCATTTATATTAAAGAGTTGATTAATTAATGTGCAGGTTATAGTTATACCCAACAGTAATCCTTAAACTGGTTACAAATACACCTATGGGTAGATACATTGTACAAACATGCAGATGTTTGCATTGTCTGAAAATAGCGGTAATACATGTAGATTTGCATTTTGGCACACAGTGTTTTGTTTCAATAACCATACCTCTACTCGCTCCTTCGAAGGAGGATATGAAGGATTTGGAAGGATTTTGTAGGATCGGGAAAGTAGAACACCTAAATTATTCCAAGTACTGGTACATTACATAGGGATTGATAACTCTTTGCTCACAATGGGGGATTTCCCTACAGTCACCAAGTACTGAGCCCTACTGACACTGTTTCCAAAGACCCTTTTTCAAGTTGGCCTAATTAAGGTACCTGCCAACAGACCATAGAGATATAAAAACCCGAACACTGACTCACATACAAAATAATACCTGCTGGGGGGCATCCGTGTTTGTGCACAAACCTATGGAAAACTTGAAATTTTGTACGGCTTTTTCACGGCTTTTTGCATATCTGCATATCTATTCTAAAACGATGCATCAGCAAAGCTGATTGGCAATATGCAGAAAACCTGAACGCACAATCACTGAATGGACATTTCATTTTTGCTCGGTATTAACAACGCAAAGGCATGTGCGCGTATGCGCTACGGATAATTTTGCCGTGACTTTTTCAATTGCATATTATCGGTACCCAATGCACGTTGCATTCAGAGTACATGTACATCTATCTGATTTCAAATGTTCTACAAGGACTCAAAATGGATTCATACCGGCAGATTCAAAATGTCTGTTCCAGGACAGTGTCAAATTTTCTCCGTGCGGAGGATGAAACGTTAGCACTCTAGTAGCTTAATATACATGTACAGTAGCTCAATGCTACAGACCTACATACATGTCTGGTCGGAGCCAATTTGGCTCATCAGGCCGGTGTTAACATGTATCTTAGGTTTCCTTGGCATGAAACGACTGAGAATATTTCTATTCCCCCTTGATGGGATGCCAGTCCATTGCAGGTTGCTTCCCCAGCTAATGCTGGTACCCATTTATACTCCTGGGTGGAGAGAGGCAAGCAGGAGTGAAGTGGCTTGCCAAGGGCCATAACAAACTGCCAGCAGCTGGATTCGAACCTCCATTCTATGATTGGAAGCCACTGACCCTAACCACTTGGTAATAATTGTTGATTATGAATGAGAATCGTGTGTGTCGGAGGTCATTCTAGAACAGCAATATATGCGCATGCGAGGTCAGCCCTATCGGGGCAACTACATTGTATATGTGAACATTCGCTTACTGAACATGATTGCAAGGACATGCTTTGTTCTTGAATGACCTTGGCTCATTAACTTTTTTCCACAGTTGAAATTTGTATTCAATGCACTCAGTGTATGTGTACGTACTGTACATGGTAGCTTTGGCATCATCCCACTAGGACAAAAGAATGCCTGCACAGATTGTCATTTACGGTATCTTGTGCTGAAACACCAGTCAAGTGCTTTATATTTAACAGAAATACACAGTAGCACTTTAATTTGTGTAGTTTAAAGTTTATTTACCAATTCCCAATCCCAAAATGCATGTACATGTACCGGGGGTAAGTACGAGGCAGTCTCATGCACTTTCAGACAGTGACAATTTTTAGTTGGCCATTCTCAGATGAACTGTCAAGTGCACAGTGTCATTCCCATTTGTTGTAATGATCAGAAAGAGGTTATGTCATTGATGACGATGCACATGTACCCGTACTATTGTAACGTCACCTCTTACACCAAACGAAAGTAAATGTACATAGAATTAAGTGGGTGAAAAAAGTCAAGTATCTCCAGTTATTGTCCGCAGGTACCGGAAAAGTGTGCTGTATTTCTCTTTTTAACATTGTCCAAGAGAGGTACCGGTACAGTACCAGGCACTTATTCAGGCTGACAAAAGGTGAATCACACTGGTTCTTGGCTTCTTGCTTTGTGGTCTGTCTTGAGGGGTTTAAAGTCCATTATGTTGTCCAGTCTGTGTGATTTCAGTTTGGCACATCATTTTTAGTGATCATTTCAGACTTGCTACAGAGTTTCAGTTTCGTAATGAAGTGAATGTCTTCACACTGTTGTTTCTTTCAGGTACAGTGAACGAGCACGTTCACAGTCTACTGTACACTTATGTGTTCATAGATTTCCCACGGTTTCAGTGCGCTTGGATTCTGTTTGCATACTGATGAGTTACAGAGAGAGTTCACTGAAATCGTTCCCGAGAGAAATAAAACAAGCAGATGCGTATACAAAATGGTTAAAAACTTATACTAGGAAAGGTGCCTGTGGAGTCAGTGCCACGGTGCATCTTTAAATTTATGTACTTTTCTGTTGAAAATTGTTCAATTGCATCAATGCAGTTGAACCTCTGAATCATTTTGTTGTGTAATTATGTGCAGATTTACGTGGTTCATCCGTACACGTACCGGTACACGTACTAAACCAGTACCGGTACATCATACAGTGTACATGTATGACCCTTTTTTCTTCAAAGTATCCATAAATATTGATGACAAAAACTAATAGGGTACCAACCATCAAAGTCTGTAGGTGAAACCAATACAATCCAGTATCATGAACATTTTCTGTTTAATCAGAGGTGTAACAATTCAGCTTTTTAGCTGATTTCAGCTTTTTTGTTAAAAATGTTGACCCCAAATTTCTGCATTTTTGTGAACCTGCTGTGTACAAACATATGGGGACTTCTTACATTTAAGCCTTTTCCCAGCTGTTTTCAGCTTCGATTTTATAAGTGGCCACTCACACCCCTGTTTAATGAATGCAGGCTTTGTTTTCTTACCCAAGAAAAAAATGAAAAAGTACATAAATGCGCAATATAAAAGTGACTGTGTTGACAAACCTTTACATTACATGTGTACAAGTAATTTTTAACTTCTTGAACTCTAACCCCCTAGTGTGTATGTAAAATCATATTGAAATTGAGGGATTTGGGACTGTTAGGGTTAAATTAGTCTGTTGGAATACACAGTGGAACATGATTTGACTTCCAGCGTGCTGTCTGGTTCCACGATACCGGTACATGTACATGTAGAGGCTGACCGGCTTTCATCAGGCCCATTTATTTAATTTGCCCTCAAAATCGCACATCCATTGGCAGCTACTGGGACATGTACGTGTAATTTCTATTTCATGAATTATGCACGCATACATCATGCATATTCAATGTGAAAACACCAGAGCTATCATTAGATGGTGATGTCATCTCTATTCTGAGCTGCTGTGATAATGTCTATTTATGAGCTGTCCCATAGTGCTTCACTTCCTTCTTTTCATTCTCACTGTTGCCACGGGCTACAGTATTTCATGCCTGGTGGAGCCAACAGTCTAATATTCCATTGATGAGTGGACCCTACCATTCCTTAAAGAGGGCATCTCCGATTGAATTAAAGACAAAAAAATGCCGAGTTATCTGGCGGTCGCTGTGTAGGGCAAAGATACTAAATATTGCTTGATTCTCATTTGACTGTAGATACCGGTATGTAGTTACTATTCAGTGCATGCATGTGTTTGCCACATGCCCATATCATCCATCTTGAAAGACCTTGTATTGGTTCTTCAGACATTCTCCCATGTGGCAGAAGATTAATGATGTACGTAAAGCATACTGTCTAAACAGTGCATTCATTGGCTTGCTCATATACTTGTACATTGATGTACCTGATGAAATGCCATCATCAGTTTATCACTGAACAGAAAGCTAAACTTGGAATGTGTAGCATCAAATTGGCATCCCAAATTTACAAATTTATTTTGTCCTCTTCGACTCAAAGTAGAATGAATATAAATTATACTGTACATGTACCAGTAAGAAAAAGTAAAATTTCACATTTTTTGTAATTTTTTTCATTTTTCTGATCCTTAAACGGAACCAGAAAAAATGTTTGTAAATCTTGCCCAATTTTGATTGATGTCCCATTTATTGTGTTATTCTGTTGGGTGCAATTCCACTGGAAATGACGGATGATGCACTGTACATTAAATATATGTGTACCGGTACATGTATGTGTCTGGGTTGGAGCTATGAATGTTGGACGTGATGCAATGTTGCTGTAAATCATGATGTACCGGTATTTCGTGTTTGTTTTTGTATTTTAAATTCCACTCTTTCCAACTGTAATTTGCTTGCGGCTGGTTTGCCCTTTTTTGGTTCGTGAAAGTACATGTACAATGTTTTTGCAATGCAATTTTTAGTTAAAAAAAGAACAACAAACCAAAAAAAGCAATTGTTTTGGGACTGGGAACTCGTGAATCTGTGCAAATTGGGATCTGTTGGGTTTTTGTAAATTACCAGGTACATGTACATGTGTACCAACAGATACAGTGTATTTCAAGTCACCCAGTGGTTGGAATGGAAGCTGCCACACACACATAGCATTAAAGTCAATATTAATCACCTTGCTGTCTTGATGACATCACGATGTTTCAGCGAGAGAGTGAGATGGGGTTCTGACAGAGTTGTGAATGAGTTGCGTAGAATCACCCACGCAGGTACATGTACGTACGTGTACGTACGGAGATTCTGCAGGGAAGGTGTGGTGTGTGTACAAGATTATAATAATGAGGATGAACTGCTGAAGGCTTGTGAAGAATTGGAATTTGGCCACTGGAAACGGCCAGAATTGTCCAGATTTTGTATGCAAGCCTACATGTAGATGTTCGGTTGGTAGCCCTTTTATTTGTGGACGTTATGCTCTGGCGATGGACCTTGTTTGACAGATCTGCCAATGGCTGCCATATTGTTTGACAAGAGATCCAAATTAAGGTAACCATGTTGAAAATTAGCACAGTGTACCGTATATGTCATCAGTCTTTTGCATTTTACATGTACATACATGGACTGGTACATGTACATGTACATGTATATTGTAACTTTTAATTAAAGATTTCACATCTATGTTAATTTCACTTGTGTGTTTGAACCAAGCTTCCGATCTGAATTAGGCATATGAATACAATGGTAACAGATACCAGTAGGGAAGCATGTGATTACTGTATCAAGTATCAAAGCAAAAGACCTCAGTACTTAGGATTACTTTTGATAATTATTAAGGGTATTACAGGTGCTTTGTACGGGTAGTTCCAAATTGCCACGATGCGGCACATTTCTACTTGTATTGTGCAAAATTATTGAAAACTAAAGTTCTTTGTAAAGAGTCAAGGCTATTGAGCACACTTCCATTGTCCTCCTCGGACCTCTGAAATACCTTCCTATATGCCCAGGATTATTCACACTTACTGGTACCGCTGCATGCATTTTATCTGATTTTCATTGGAAATGTACCGGTACAGTACATGTACCATACATATACATGTACATTATCATTTTTCATTCATATCCTCAGATTCATCTTTGTTAAGAAGATTTTATATTCTTATACAATATACCGGTACTTGAAAAACCACATCATATCAAATTTATTTGCAACTTTTAAAATACTGGTAACCATCAAACAAAAGGTGTAAGTGGAATTTATCATAGTTTCACCTTCTGTGCAGTTTGGTCTTGAATAATTACACCATCAGTGTTGCACAGGAAATACATAAACGGCAAGTTAAAAGATATCGCTACACAACGGGAAGTCTGGAAATGTTTAATAGACAAGTTTGCCATGGTTTGCCCCAACCTTAGTTCCACGGTGTTAAGCAGTGTACCAAATAAAGAAATCCCTTGAGATGATGTAGCAGTTTGCCATGGTCTCTTTTTAACTTGTGCCTTTCTTGAAATAACAGTCTTCTGCCAATCTGTAAATATTTTATGTCTGTGGGGAATTGAATCGCAAAACCCAACACATAAATGAATCAGTGAACAAAGGAAAAGCACTAATAGGCCAGCAAAATAAGAAACATTCTGGAATTTTAGAGTGCCAAAATCAGTGTAACATTGAGGTTATCTTCCTGGGATGACATATCAGTTTTTGCACCTATACGGAAATTTTCATCAGTTTGAAAACAAAAATGGCACCAATAGACAGTGAGCCAAACAAAATCAAAAACATGTACCGTATATATATGTACCTGGTAGGTGCGTTTTCAATATTTGTATAGAAAATGTATTCTATAGACTGGTGACACATACAAGTCATTTCATGGTGCATCTGTAATTCAGGGTTAGGTCAGGCATCCACTAATGCCACTCACTCGGCAATGTTTACCGGTACATGTGCATGACATGATCCAGAATTAAAATATGGAAGAATCCAGTTTGAATGCCATGGGCAACTGTACGTGCAACATACACTGTAAAACTATAAACTGGAGAATGTTATCGTTGAATTGGCCTGTCTTTCAGTCTTTGTGCTATGCAGTGACATGCAGACTCGGCTCTTGTCAAGTCCTTCCCAGCAGATGCGTCTGAGAATTTGTAATGAGCTGACTTGTAATATATACACTCCTCCTCTTTCTTGATGCCAACTCTAGCTTTGAATTGGATCAAAAGGATTCAGTGAATGCTGAAACTTTATGTGGGATCCTTTTCTTTCCTTTTTCATCTTTGATCCAGATCAAGACCTAAATCAACTCCCAGATCAACTGTTCTCTTGTCGGAAAACACTTAGTCTAGGGTTCTACATGTACATGTTGAATATGGAAATGGGGGGAACCTCCCAGGGTTATTTACAGATAAAATTTTAAGATTTCAGAAGTCAGAAAAAACAAAGCAAAACTAAAGACCTTGAAGGTCGGAAAGTGGAGATAATGCATTCAATGTAACGCATGGATGATTTCATCTTCCTGTACAGCTGTCATTGACAGCTTTGACACACAGTGTGCAGTCCTGTCCATGTGATATTGTGAAGGGTATTGAATGTTAGGCCAGAAACCTGCCTGCTTTGTGAAGCATTCAGAATCGTAAATTGGATTATGTGTGGTAACAGACTCCAATTATAACCAAGCAGCCAGTGCCCCTATTGATTTCTTTAAGAAAACAACAGAATCCTCAATAATAATCGCAGGATGCCAATGGCTAAGAGGAATACGGTAATTCCATGGCTGGTTTATTCATGCAGGAGACCCCCCCTTCATGCCTCCTGTCAAAAGCCAGAGTGTGCACATTTTCTGTTTCACCGGCCACAAAATTGAAAGTGTCTTGGAATGCGGAATTGAAAACCTGTGCGTAATGCTGATCCCTTTTGTGTGTCCCTGCAAGCCAGAATCGTGTGGAATCAGCTTCTGGGGCTGTTTGTGAATAGAAGAGAATATTGATTTGAGCACCAATCTTTTTTTTTTTAGGGGGGGTCCCCTTCTTTGTCATACTCGGTGTTTGAATGAGGAGAGAGAAAGAGAAGGGATAAAATGAGGAAATAGTTTTTTTTTGTTCCAAATGAGGAGGGAAAATGGGTATCAAATTATCAGGCAGTGGTCCTCGGGCAGCGAGGGGGATTGTCTCAGATGACACAAAGAGAAATCCATTGCGAATCCCCCCCCCCGGGCATGGGAGAAGAAAAAAAAAGTGATTTGAGTCGGTGCTGGCTCAGTCAGATGATTTTGGCTTTCAACCTTGGCACCGTTTGGCCATTCAGGCTTCCTTATGCTTGGCAGTGCCTCTTTTTTTTTAGGTATTGTTATTTATCATTGTCACGGACAGCTGGTTTAGCGGCCCTGCAAGGCCCTGCAATGAAGCATTTAGAGGGATCAGAAAATTGGACCTTTTCATACCCACAAAGCACCTTTTTCTTCTATTGGTTTTCCCATCAATGGGTGTACAGTATACGTTTGAAGCAGCTTTAGCAGTTCATTTTGTACTCTGGCATTGAGTTTCCCATGCAGTGGATGTACCTTACATGTGCTGGTACCAGACCCAATGGATATCATTATTTCATACATGTGATGTACATTTGATCAAAGTTATCAGGACCTATGGCACATGTACATGTATCCACAGTTTGCATGCTGTAAACCACAGGTTTCTGAACCCTTACTGACTGACTTACTCCATGCACTGTAGTGTTCTTGCAATCAGGGTAAGATATGGTATTTGTAACAATTTTAAAATTTATGTGTGTAGTTGGCAAGTCACATGTACTGTACATGTAGGTAATGTACATGTACATCAAAAGGGCATGGTTTGGGTGTACATGTACAGTACATGTATGTGGGCTCTGTATTTTTCAGAGAAGACACAAAATGTGTCTAATCTAAACAAACATCATTATACTTGCTTTGACCACCTGGATGCAAGCGTGGAGTTGCTGCAATGTCTGTTATTGCCTCTACATGTAATTTTGGATGTAGGATGTGTACAGTGACATTTTACATGTACATGTGACATGTAAGTGCCCATTGTAGGCATAGCATATTGGAAGCATACAGAGATTTCACATTAGCGCCGTCTGCGCATATCCCAATCGAAACCGAGGCCCTCTGTGTTGAACTTTGTCGCGCGCGCCAACAGAATCGACACAGTACATGTACATGCAGTATCCGGTTTGTAAGTGTGATGCCACTTCAGTTTAAACCACGGCCACTGCACATGCAGATGCACAACCAACACAGGTACGATAGTTCGCAGTAAATTGCTATTATTTTTTCTTTGATTTTACGTGTCGAGTCAACCTGAAAGACTCTTCCACAGAAATTTGCAGCCTGCAAAGTCTGAAGTTAACATACCTTGTGTCTTCACTCCTTAGTTTCAATCGTCTGATCGTATTAAGAATTGAAGTTGACATATACACGTACAGCCTTGTTTTCAAACGCGGAAGTGTGCTGATCAACACTAAAGCGTCGTATTGGAATCCCTCTATTGTATCAGGTAGTTTCAGTGGAACTAAGTGGTGATGCTTGAGTCATGGGATCAAACTGCAAATGCTCACAAAGGCTGAGCCAGTTTGACGCTTTTGCAACACATTGGTACTGTTCACCAGTCCATCAAAAAGGGAAGAGTAAGCAGTGAATTCTTTGCATGGTAGAGTTGAAAGAGAGGCTTGACTGGCAAGATTATGTCACTTGATTGAATTCTTACATGTACACTGTACATGTAGCGGTATGGGTCATTTAGCAGCTGTAACAGCCACAGTTTCCAATCTGGCCATGCCAATGCAAATAGTGGACAGAATGTGGACATCCTTCCAAAGTTTTTTTGATCTAAATTTGCTCATGGATGTTAACATTCAACAAACATGTACCGTACCTGTAACTACGGCACACATACATGTAAACATGCAATTTTAAGTGCTTGTTTGCTGGGGGGGAGAATTTTCTCACCACTTTCCTCAAACATTTGGAAAATTAAATTTACATGTACATGTACAGTCGACTGGCAGCATGAAGTTTATGTACACACTTGTATCTGATAAGCAGATGCTCTGTGGAAATTTAAATGTGTGGTGGCACAATAACTTCACTGGTACCGCCTTACCAGTACTTTTCAATCTAAACACTTGACAGACATTGTTTTCCCCCCAAAATGGACTTTTTTCTATGGTAAAAATACACAGGCCAGCTGTATGATGCATGTACAGTATGCCAGTGTCAAAGTCTGACTTTCTGGACTAAAAAGAAGCAATGCCACTTTACACATGTAGGTCAACTATTGTCTGTACCGGTACATGTAGCCTAAGTCTTTGTGAAACAATGAAACTCTGTTGTTAATCAAGTACTCAGACTACACTTTCAGGCAGGTGAATTACATACAGTACATTCTCAGCTGTATATGCACACACCTGTTTGCTCTCTGCTTGCACCTTATTAAAGTCAGTCTCATTTTCATAATGGCCTTCTGTTTGTAAACTGCAGGGTCCTAAACACGCTTAATATGGGTTAGTGGAATTATCTGTCAGTGTGCAGTTTTGTGGTACTGGTACTGCTACCTTGTAAACTCATAGCTTTTCCTAATTTGCATGTCGTAGAAGTACACTTGTACATGTGTATATTGTCATTATGAATTGAAGCACTTGCAGTTGGTGTGACAGGGTGGGGGTTGATTACTTAGAAAATAATGTACATGTACAGTACATGTACCGTACACTGTACATACTGGTATGTGGGAAGCTCATATAGGCCTACTTGTACATATACGGTACAGTGGCTGTCAAATCAGCAAGTTACAGAAATTCATTCAAATGTTTAAAATATGCAACTCCTTTGTACTTGAAGAATAACCCTCATTTACTCTTTACATTTATGTATTTTTGATGTTTACCGGTTTGACAAACTGGTACTGCCTCCATAGGCTGCATTTTGTACTGATATGATACATATTCAAGTGTAGTCTCTGAAAGAGCTCAAACGAGTCCAAAATGGAACTGCGTGGAATTGAAGAGTGCATCAAATGAATACATGTAAGTGCTGCCTCCCCCTCCCACCTCCTGCAGGATATTGCCCTTGCAATATTTGCATCTGTGGGCATGTTTCATCTCTGTGCGGGCTTGGATTCAGGAAGGGAGCCATGCCGGGAGATTGGCTTGTGCCTGTCCAATAAATCTCAACAAAAAGAGAGAGGAGGACGGGCAGCTCAACCCATTTTTCCATGCTTCCATCTCTTAAAAAAATCTGGATTGATGTGCTTGTTCACTGACATGGCAGTCCGGCTCTGGAATGTATTGATGTGCGTGTGCAATTTAACTACCGGTAGTTCTAATTACATGTAGTTCCAGGGTCTGATGGAATAGAAGTTTGATGAACTGAAATAAATTTGCCATTTTTTGAATGAGGTCTTTTATGATTCATCCTCAAAATCTGCAAAATCTCAGACAACTCACATGCACTTTTCTGACACTTTGTCTGCTTTTCTGCTTCATCACTCTTCAGAATCAGGGAAACTATACATGTATTATTTAAAAAAAAAAAAAAAGATTTGAAGTGTGGTAATTCTGGGAGCGTAAGGAGCTGGCTAGTTGAGCATAAAGGCTGCAATCCAAACAGCCTGCCAAGTATCAGAAAAACCTCCTTGCCCAGCCAACTCTACTCTCTTGACATTATGGTCATATCTCATTCCCCACTTTACCAGCAAACTAATACAGCCTTTCCTGAGGTTTCTGGCCAGAGTGACCATGAATATCTTAGTGTCAGTGTCAGCCCTGGAGGCACAGGCATAATTTTGGAGTGGTTGCGATTCTACTTTGGATGTGGCTAACCCTTCAATGTCAACCCTTCATGGGTTATCTAGAGCTGTTTTGCATTTCCTGTGAGCCTTTGGTCCACATGTGGTCCCTTTGGTAGCTTCACTGTGGAAGTTGCTCTCCAGCCCAAACCAGAATGCTGGTACATTTGTCACCATTTTCACTGCAGAGGCGAATTTGGCCAAAAATCGTAACCTTTTTCAGTTATAGTTTTTTTGGCCGGTTACACGCATGTATGTACAGGTACATGTACTGTATGCCATCTTAATCTAATGCCAACATGTTGGTGAAATCATTTTGACCAAAGTTATTCAAATTGGGCGACTCATGCTGATCTTGTGTGAGGAATTTTTGATTTTCACAAAGGGGTAAACTTTAGGTCAGTAATCCTGAATTGCAGTTAAATTAAGATTTAGTACAATTAATCATTTTATGGCACAGTGTATGAAATTAATCAACTCTGGAGGTTAATCTGTACAAATTGTCTTTTTCAATGAGCAATCAACTTCAAATGTGATTTTCTTAAAGTTCACTTTCATGCGACTTGGACAAGTTTGCCTCTTTGTGAATACGGTGACGATTACTGTAGATAGGCTACATGTATGTTACTCTTCTACAGGCTAGTCCAAGCAAGGTTTGTGAGTCGGTGTTATCCTCGAATTGGAACTCTAGAATATGGGCTTACTTCTTACAAGGATCACCAACATGGCCTACAGTATTCCCTGATCAAACTCACTGGCTCTGTGCGCATTATTTGGGCAATTCAACCAGTGTTTTTAACATGTTGGTAGTCCAGCGGGATATTATCATTTTTTTGGGGGGGGGGAAGATAGTGAAAAAGCTACAATCAAGATCGTTTCTGCTGTCAGAGCTTTCGTTTCCCTGGGAAGGTTGAGTTTTACCAGTGCATGTGTTTCACAAATGTTTGGGGGAAGGAGAGGCTTCAAAGCTGTGGAACTGCATTTATTAATCAATGCAAAATTTTTGAAAATTCCAAAATTCAGCTGACAGTATAATTTGTAAATGGTCACATTTCGTGAGGTACAATTTGTAATTGGTGTATTTTGTGAGGTATAATGTGTGATGGCCACATTTGGTGAGCGCTAAAGCAGCATATGTACATGTATTCCTCGCCAGTTTAGAAGACTGCATGCATCACACCATATGTGCACATATACATGTAATATGTTAACACAATTTATTCAGCAAGGTGATCTGATAAAAGGGTAGAATCTTGAGGGGAAAGTGGCCCCAGGGGACTTTAATATAACTCTGATGTGGTCCAACACCTTTGGTAACAGGCCAAAGAAGGAGGAGGGGAATTGCATGCTTGAGCAGGTCCAAGGGACTGATGCCAGATCTAATCAAGGCTGAATGAGTCACTGGCTGTAGTGTCTGATGTGTATACATGTGTTAGGTGTATGGTGAATGGATGATTGGGTTATCACCCTCATTGTCCAGCATGAGGGCCCAATTTGGTAAGGGGAGTTTTATTGGTTTCCCCTGGTGATTGGCTTTGACACCTTGGGCCCAGGGTGTGGTGGAGAGAATGGGCACCAGCTTTCAGGGTGTCAGACCTGTCATAATACAGGGTTGTAATGTATGTGGGTTGAGCTGTGGTGTGTTAGATCTCATACTGGTACATATACAGTATACTGGTACACCTGTACTGTTCCTGTGTGTATAGATCACTCTTTACAGTGTTTACCAATAAAGGGAAAAAATTATGTACAAGCAGTGTAATTTTAACAGCTACATGTACAGACGTGTGCATGTACTACTAATCTTGTTATTTAAAAAGAGTGTTTTCATGTATACCTACAGGTACTAATCTTGTTATTTAAAAAGAGTGTTTTCATGTATACCTACAGGTACATGGGCATGTAGATTGCATAATTTTAAGACCATTTATCAGACAGCAGAACAATACCAGACATAGTGCTTTGCCATTTTTCTTTTAAAGTTTCCTAAAAGTTCAAAGATGATTTTTTTATTTCCCCATGGCCTCATCTGTTTCCCCCATGGTCTCATCAACTGCCATTGCATTTGGGATGTTGGTGAACAAATTCTATATGAAGAGGAAGCACCCATTAGCGCGAGCACGCAGCTCCGGAAAGTCAGACCGTCTTAAAGTACATGAACTCTCCTTATGCATGCTTGCTTGTCTTCTCGTCACGGTATGTGTACGTGGCATCCCATGAAATTGTTGGATCAAAGGAATCTCATTTGTAGTAGGGAAACAATCTGAAAGCCCACCGTATTATTTCAAATAAGAGGATTTGTGAAGAAAAAATCAATGAACGATGCACTTCAGTTACCACCAAGACCGGTAATTACGGGTTTTGAATGCATGGTAAGGGGCGATGCACTTTTTCAACTGTACTTTCAATGTTACCGACGTGTTATTGGACACCGGCATACCAACATTCAGTCGTGCCTAACCTGTTGGCCATGTGTGGCTTGGTTGAGTCTCCCCTTCCCGTCAGTCCGGTAGTGCGGTACATGGCATGATGTACTTTCTTGAAAAAGTGAACATGAAGTGTTTGAAACAAAGCATCGTGTTAACAGCAAGAAAATGCATTTTATTGAACCCTGTCTTTGGCAAGTGTTAATTTTCTGATCTATGCATAACTGGACTGTAAGTTACCAGTTTAGGCTACGTGTATGGCCCAGCTAACTACAGCTGTATGTGTTTACATACCCTTACATGTACATGTACATGTACCTAAGAAATGAATTCCAAGGGTTATGTGCTATTATGGCAAAAATCAGTGGAAATCGAATGAAACTTACATGTACATGTATAATTGGGAAATGTACTGTAAGTGGGTAGACAACATGTGAATATGTAAATATGTTTACGTTATGTAAGAACGTACATTTACATGTACTTTACCGTATAACAGAAAACTGCTAGTGGTGAAAGCTTGTATATTGCATTTGCATGTACATGAACCGGTACATGTATCACATTCTGCCTTGTTGGTTTCTGAAATTACATGTACGTGTAGGTGCTTTTCTTAATCATCCGCCTTGAGCTGAAGTGCGCCCCCACCAGCGAAAGAAAGACAGGCTGGTACTAAGTTTTCCGACCTGGTTCTTGCACGTGTTTGATGTGCAAATGCAGATTGTACATTGCAGCATAAATTTTGTTTTGCGTGCTCCGCGTCAAATGCAAATTAACTTGCACTCCTATGCGGTGAGTTGGTACCAAAGGACTGTCAATTTCGTTTTCAGAATGCTCTCTTTTGTTCCCGCTCAAGACGAATAGAGATGCACAAGTTATCTGTACAGAAACATGAGATGTTTTTCTGTTTTACTTTGGCATTAACTCTATTCATGCTTAAAACGGCCTGGACTTGCGTTTAAAGGGGTGAAACATTCAAATGTAAAGTTCAGAAACGTGGAAGCGACTGTGTGGTCTGTCCTGAGATAACAGCTTCAAACTTTCACTTCTGAGTTATTATAAAGAATGATTCTTTGGTCCACTTTGGATCGTCTACCGATTCACGTGACCGACAGAAAGATGATTCATATATCCTGTAATATTTAATTCGCCTAACATTAGTCTGCACTCTGAACAAGCATATGTTATTGACAACTTTTTTTTTCTTGACAGATGCATGAGTGATATGGCAGTGTCCTCTTATGACCAACTACTCGCACAAGTCAACTCACTCAAAGCAGAAAACTCACACCTGAAAAAGGTGAGCTGTCTATCATCAGGGCTCATTTTCAAACTACAATGTACATGTATCTGACTAGAGTATTGTAAGAAGAAAAATGGTTGTGTTCATGTCAGTGTACATGTAAGTATTGCCTTGGAAATTGGAACATTCATCAATTGTCAAAACTCTTTTAACGCATTCGGTTTCTCAACAGTGTGGAACAGGATTGGTTACTGTTGAGTTCGCATGTACATAAATTTGGGCACAGATGCACTGAGATGTCAGCCTAGTCTAAGCCTAGTGGAAAAGTAATCATTGTGAACTGTAGTCCTTAATCCACACTCTGTCCCTAGGCATTTTTGGTACCAGGGTACCAGAAGGATACAATCTGAGTCCTGCGAAAGCTTACAACTGCCTCTGTACCAAAAATTACATACAGCCTCAATTGTCAAAACCTTCTGTTCTTGAATGTGTTTCTTTGAGAAAAGGTCACTGTCTCAGTCCTTTAAAATCCCCTTCCCATTTCTGTCAGTATGTTGAGGCAGTGCAAGTAATGCCCTGGAGCAGTGTGAATGATTCCATGTACAGTACTGTATAATCTGGACCAGGTTTATGCATGGCTGAGCATTAGCAACCTGAGATCGGGTCCAAGACCTTGACTGTGTGTATCCTTTCACAGCCTCAATCTTCTAAATCCTGCACTGGAACAAGAAGGATTTGGTATGATATTCAGTAGTTCAGGGTTAATCCTTACACCCCAAAAAAGCATTTTTTGTCCCAGTGACCAGCCAATTTAAGTGTTAAGAATGTATGCAAAATGACCACCAAACTTGAAGTGGAGAGTGCCTACATGTACACATACTATGCTGTTATCATTTTTTGTGGTATGAGGCAGGAATTGAAGGAGAACTCCTGCCAACTCACCAAGCTGGAAACAGAAGCCTCCTGCATGAAAGATGCCCTCACTCAGATCCAGACTAGCATGCAAGAGGAGGAGGCTGCCGCCGCGGAAACAGCCATGGCAACCAGCCTGGACCACAACTCCAACAGTGAGTATGGTGTTAACCCTTGCGAAATCACATCAGGGGCGGGGGGGGGGGCTTGTCAGGAATGGGGGAGAGAGGAGGTGCTACCGGTACATGTACCGGTAGGCAGGAAGCCTTTCAGCACCTGTTTGGGAATGCAAGTCTTACATACAGTAGTATCCACTCTGAGCAGGAACAGGAGAGAGCATCACTTTCCATAGCAGCAACTATTCTTTGGAAATCACCACATCCATGTGCAAAGTCATGCATATTTGGCATGGAACATGCTAAGCTTGCATGACCACTTTCTGTTACAGTGCACATTGCACAGCCTTTGCGTGTATGTAACCAGCTTGGTTGATAAACTTTCAACCAGCAGTTCGTCTTTACTGGTGAGGGTGCACATCAGCTCTTGGTGGAACTGTACCATGTAGGTGGAGATTTTTAGTTCCTTGCTCGATCATGTGGTTTTTCCTTGGCCTTCAGCTTTTAAAAAGTCAGTTTGGTATTTCAACAGTGGATGCTGAAAATGAAGGGTGTCATGGGCCATTAGAGAACATCAAAATGTGCGTGCAAAGTTGGCCATATCAGCACAACCGTATGCTGACCCACGTGCACTGATCATGTTTGAACTGTCGCGACGTCAGGTGCTTCGTTCTCTGATGATCTTGCCTTTTTGAAATACCGAACTGGCTCATTGACTTGGTTCGAATCGCACTGGTGAATGTAATTTTGAATCTTTGCCTGCCGTTGCTGGCTTTGCTTGCCTGTCACCCTGTCTGCATCTAGCCAGAGCCAGGTCAGTTTACCATATGAAAACTAGCAAATTTCTTTCAGAAAGTGCCAGTGACACTGTGTGCTGAATGCTGACCTGCGATGTTTTTGTGGTGGCATAGAGTTTGCAGTGTTCTAACTATTGTCGGTATTGTTGCTATGCGCCCTTGACGATTTATTTTGTATCCATTCTGTTGTAAGTCACTGTAAATCACAATTATAGTTTTGAAAAACCCCAAGTCTTTGCTCTGTCTTACTTTCTGTCCTTTCTAGCTGCTTGCTAATATTGATACAAATGTCCTTTTGGCTCTTATTGTATAGATGGATTCTCTCCATTAACATCACCACTCTCCCCAAATGCTGTAAGGACACACAAGCCCCACAGTCCTCCCAACAGCCAATCCTCTTCCGGTAGCCTCGCCCCCGAGATGCCTGGTAGCCCCTCCCCTGTGAGACAGCTGCAGGAAAATATGGCCAGAATGCAAGAGTTGGAAAGAGAGAGGTGAGGCAATGTAATTTTTTTTCGTAACAAGTACATGTACATGTATGTTGTTTCCAAAGTTACCTTAACCTTGTCATGTTGTCAGATTTTCTCTTGTCATCCTGCAGAGTGGAACAAAATGCAACAAAGCTAAAATGAGATCCATGCTGAATGCAACATAATGCAACTAAAATTGTTTTGTTTTGCTGTGCACTGATAATACACCAGTCTTTGCAGTTAGATTATAAACACTATTTGCCGATGAGCCATATTAAATAGGGGTGATTCACAGTACAGTGCACCACCAAGAGTTTGCCACAGAGAGGCCATTTTTCAAGTTAACAGTCAACTGAAGCATAGTCGACTCACCGTAGTTTGCATCGTAGTAAATATCAGTGACTAGCCTCATTCCCATGGGTACAATCTTGTCGCGCCATGTTGGTTCCCAACATGCCTTGTGCAATTTTAATCCTTGGTATAGTATAATTTAAATATCCCTTTATTTGGGCTATTAAATGAGGACAGTAGTCGATGTGTTTACACTTGAGGCGACTTACGCGTACGTGACGTGCAGGAGAATGCATGGACGCAAGCTTGGACATGTAGCGTGGAAATACACATGTGATCCACTTTACATTTGTCCTGAATAGCCAGTCAGCATCATTTTCATATTCTACCTGGTACGTGACCAGGGCCTAGTGAAGGAACACGCACGGAGCCCATGGAGTCGAGATTGGTTATGGTCAGTGACAACTTGTGGAAAACACATCACCTTAATTAATTAGCGCCGATACTCAAAAAGCCCTTTTGAATCTTTGTCTAAGATGAACAAACAATGGGAACAATTCAAGTTCCCTGTGTACATCGCAGTTGATGAATTGAATTTTGTGAACCATTTTTCCACAATGTATGGGTACTGCAGAAAAGGCCTCTCCGTGGCAACCTCTTGATGGCACACTGAATTATGAATTGCCAGAGCCGTTTATATAGAGAGTTGCGACATGAGTTAATTCTTGGAACCAAAATGGTAGACCATGTGTCAGTGCACATGGACAGTTAGCAAACAATAGTGGTAGTTGCCTGCTCTACTGCACACATAATGAACAGCCATTTTGGTTCTAAAGTTTGAAGAACCTTATGCAACTTTCTCTGTATACAGCTCTGTGAATGGCCCGTTCTGGAAGTTATGGCCGTGTCCGAATCATATTGCTGTGGCTAGAAATCACACAAGTTAGTGGTTGTGGCCAGTTCCCATTGAGTCCTGTGTAATTTCAAGTTGCAGACAAGTGATTCGGACGCAGCTCTAGTTTTCTTTTTCATTTTTTGGAACTTGAGAGTAGAAATGAGAACCACAGAAATAAAATTTCATTAAAAAATTGTACCTTTCTGGTATCATGAATAATTTCTAATTTATGGTTGAACATACCTTAATGTTTAAACAAGATTTTTATCTTAAAAATGACAGGAATGTTTGGAATGCACGCCAGTCATAAAATACATGTATTCTGGCTCTGTCCCACTACACAGTTTTCATTTGATTCTTTTTATTGTGGGAAAAGGATTAAAAATGGTTTTCTTGTGAACAAGACTCATGTATCTCCTCTGCTTGCGCTGACTACTATTTTCAACAATAAAACAACTTCTGCAACCTTGAGACGTTGTATTTAAACTGGTAGTAAGATTTTTTGGTAAAACAAAAAACAAATATATCAATCCATATTTGCAACTTGGACTTATGAAAGGTAAGATGAAGTTTTCCACTGAGTTGGAATTTTATTGAGAGCGCCCCCCTTCAATATCATGGTTACATCATGATGAGACTTACAGTAGTTACAATGCAATATGGATTTCTTCTCTAAGTGTATACTTGCTTTGCTGTAATTCAAGGATTTTTATTAAGGTGAATGCAATTACTAAATTGGGTTTTTAAAGGTATGGCATCATCCATTAACAGGTACAGTAAACGTGCAAGAGATTGTACATGTAGGTACCGGTACATTCGGCCCAATGTTAATGGCTTTAAATTTTTTTTAAACATCTGGCAAAGCGTGAATCGTTATTCAAGTCAGGCTATTAAAGCCAAAATGAGCTGTCCATATCATCGGATCTGTTCATTGGTGACATTTGAAATGCACTCTGCAGGTTTTCCTAGTCCACGGTCATCTTTAAATGCACTTGCCGAGTTCCCGTCACTGGCACTGACTCAGCCTGAAATTGCTTGGATTGAGACTCAGCTTTTGACTACAGAGGGCTCCCTTCTTGCTTGTCAGCAGTAGACCAGTGTGAAGGGAAATGGGATGTGAGATGCCCGGGGCAAAATACTGAGAGTGGTCTCAAGTAAAAATTGCAGTCATGGAGTCTTTTGGCTGGGTCGAACATTAATAATCTAATTTTGTCTCTCTCTCCTCTCTTGAGCTTTGGGACTATTGCATATTCCCTTTCCTTTTCTATTAGTAATAGGTTCCTTTCCTTTGCCATCATTTATCATTTCCCAAAGCTGTTTACCATGCTTTATGCATGGACATGATAAGCACTCGGAGCATATTGATGTGTGGTCATGGCTAGGGTGCAGACTTTCAAACACCATTTCAAATACTTATTTTGTGGTAATGTCTCTTGTAAAACCTGTCCGAATTGATTGGGTTTCAAACTTTATCAGAACAGTCACGTTTGGTCATCACTGAGCTGTTCTCCCTTTTCCAACAACAAACCTTTTGCTATTCGTGCATGTACACTATACCATACAAGTTTGTACTTCCTACTCATTGCCACCAGCTACAGATGCAGTATGTATAACTGGAAAAAAACCCACAAAAATAGGAAATGAATCTCAACAGTCCAGATCAATAATATGAGTTATCACACGAGTGTGAGTGGAATACAGGCGCACTACATTATTCTGTGTTACGTGAGCGTAATAACGACTTTATCTATGAGCAAACTTGACGTGCGGTAAAGATATTATAGGGGCCTGTGCGCGCAAACACACCACCTTTTAATTGAAAGTAAATTTTGCAGTTGTGGGTTTTGCTTTTAGCTTAAAAATAGCGCAATGCATTGATTTAGAACAGCGCGGTACCCAGGGTTTGACTTTGATACACTGTTTGTTGTCATGGATCGACCAATCAGAGAATTCAAGTTTGCCTAAAGATAAGTCTGCTTGTCAGCATTCAGAACAACATGAAACAGTACACATAAAAGAATAAGCAAATATGTACAGTTACTTAATTGGCTAAGTGACTGGTAGTACATGTAGCATGGTTTTCACACCCTGTGCTGTGGGTAGTTTCATCCAGCTCTGACATCACACAACGTGCAGCGGCAGTAAAGGAGGTTTAAGTTCCCCTCCTCCATCTGCTCCATTCCTGAAACCGGAGTCAGTATTGATTTCCTCCCCTGGCTTCTTTCTCTCTCTGCTGGACGAGGTCTTCCTTCTCCTTCTCTTCAGTCCTTCAGCCCACAGGCCAGGCCTGGTATTTCTCTGGAGGCTTGTTGGAGGTTGTTTGTATGCATGTGCAAGCAGTGAAGGGGATCATTGCCCCACTGTGACGCACTATACTGCGGTGGCCTAATGGTAACATATTGGATGTGATTTGGTTAATGTCAGGGGTGGAACTGGCCCCTAATGGTAAGCCCTGATTAGAATTTAGTTTCCGATTGTCAGTATTGATTCATGCATGGTACATGTACATGTACATGCAGGACTGTGTTGCACTGTGCTGCACAATGTACAGGTACATGTATTCAATGTACACGTACATTGTACACCCAGTACAGTGCTCATTCAGTGTAGGCCTACATTTTCAGCTGTGTACTTGTATGTATATATGTAATTTATATGATTTGAAATGCTACTTTGAGATGCTGGGAGTTTGGTATAATGTGTACATGTACATGTGTGCACATACAAGGGACATGTCCAATTATAAACTGTGTGTGTTTACTGGTAGATAAACAAGTACATGTAAGGTGGCAGAAGTCTCATGCCATAGTGTGGCATTTGTTTAGATAAACAAGTAAGGTGGCAGAAGTCTCATGCCATAGTGTGGCAATTTTTAGATAAACGAGTAAGGTGGCAGAAGTCTCATGCCATAGTGTGGCAATTTTTAGATTAACGAGTAAGGTGGCAGAAGTCTCATGCCATAGTGTGGCAATTTTTAGATAAACGAGTAAGGTGGCAGAAGTCTTATGCCATACTGCATGTGTGGCAATTGTTTTCACCATGTGGTGTACATGTACAATACATGCATTTTGGCCAAGTTCTAAATGCCTGATTGGTCAAAGAGTTAATTCCAGTCACTACTTTAGTATACATGTACATGTAGCTGTAAACCCGGTACTCTTCTGAAACCACGGTCAATGCTTAACAAGAGGTACCGGCACCTACTGGTACCTTACCGGTCATTACAAGAGTTATGAATGTTAATTGGCCAACTAAAACATTCAAACTCTTTAAAAGTTGTGGATTAAAAAAAATGGATGAGGCCACCCACCTTTGGCTTGCTTGGCAGATTAGTTTGTTTTCATTCCGCTTGGGTCTCTATATTTTTTATAAGGCTTCTCAGTTCTCATCAAATGTCATGTGTGACGCCTGAGGATGTGTATTTGTGTATTCTGTCAGAAGCCCTATACCTCCATATGTTATCATTTGGCTTAGCACTAGGGCATGAGAAGGCTTTGTGTGCGCATACACCCCAGGATGTTTGTCAGGGACGGCCCTTCTCTTCTCTTCTCCCCTTCCTCCCCCCCCCAGTGATATCCAGAATTTGTGCATCAAGAAACTAAAATTGGTGCCATGTATAAAAGTGGGAAGTAATATCTTGGCATGGGTCAAAGAAATCTGTAGATGTCGTTGACATAGCATTAAAGTGATCTGCAGGCTACATTTGAGAAAGGCTTGAAAAACAAATGGAAAATCAATGAAATTGAAGTTCTCAGAGGACAGATGACTAGGGATTGGCCCCTCCCCCCAAAAAAGGATCTGTGCAAAGGTCTTTCGTCTGTCACCCCACCCTCATAGC